GAAATCAACTTTTTTCTCTGACATTCGTTTTCAAATTTACCCACTGTTCCAGAACTTTTTCCATTCTCATTCTCAGTTGCATTTTTCCGGAGTGCCCAGTCGACATACAGGAAAATGAAGATTTTCTGATACCCTGTAAAAATCGGATTAAAAATTCGGATTTTCTGGACGCTTCTTACCTTTTGAAAGTACAGAAGCAATGCTTCTTCCAGAGTTTTTCGAAACTTCGGCTTCTTGCTTTTGACTTTTGTCTTCCGGTTATTTTCTCTATTTTTCTGCAAACAAAATGATACATTCATGGTTATACAGTATTCTAGTATAATATTATATGTTAATTAATAGATTGCGAACAAAAACTGCGAAGAAAACGGCGAAAAAAGAAGTAAAGTATCCAAAAAAGGAAAAAGAAGTTCGGAAAATAAAAAACAAGAATTTCTTCGCGATTGTTCAATTGTGGACCTTTTATAGGGCCAGTTAGTAAGATACGCATTTTGCTCGGTCAATTGTAGTACCTCTCGTTCGCGGTAGATAAGTAATTGATCGATTATAGCCCTTCTTCTGTAATTGGTCAATCACGAATCACCTGTGGGTAGAGGGGGACTGCCGAAAAACGGGCCGTCTGGCGGGCGCCGACTGCCGAAAAGCGAACAGTCGAATCGCGCGCCGCCGACGGTCCGTCTTTAACGATTTGCGCCTCGAAGACGGACCGTCTAAAATGATAGCGCTTTCTTGACAGTTCATCATTAAACAGGTAATAAACAATAGAAATTCTTTATTAAACTAATAGTTTCTGTGGATTGTGTATTGTCTTCGAAAAATAACTCCGATTTTTCAAAGTTGAACTTTTAATGAGTAGAATGAGAGAAAACACATAAGAAATTACAAATTATATAGGGAACAGAACTTCGATTTTCTATTTGTGTTTTCGCAAAATTCCAACTTTATAAAAATTCAAATTTTAAAATGCGAAGATTTTTTCTTTAATCTCGTTCTCTTTTCCTTCTTCGTTTCTCGATTTCATTTTCTTTTGCTTCCCGGAATGTTCTCTCATTGAACAGTATTTTTCGCTTTGATTTTATGTTATGAGTTTCTATCAGAGTAAGGAAAGTTTGAGAATTCGTGAATTTGCGCATTAAAAACTGGCATGAGATGAGAAAATTGTTAGATCTTAAGGTGTCGCGAAATTTTTCAAATAGACACTTC